CGAATGTCGAAACAGGGTCGCAGATGGAGTCAGCCCAGACAGCTCAGAATGCCAACGACATTGATCCAGTGACGGTACAGACTGAGCGGAGACGACGAATCGCGAAGGCACAAGATGAAGAACTCAGGTGGGCCGATCTGAAGGCGTACCTGAGAGGTGAATTGGAGGACCTTACACACCGTCGAGCTCAGAATGCCGGCAAAGTCGCAGAAGTCTTTGTACTCAGCGAAGACGGCCTGTTATACCGCCGAGATGAAGCCCGCCGACTAGGCGAACTCGGCGAACCGAACCTCTCATTGAGATTGGTGATTCCGTCAACGATGGTCGACGAAATACTTCATAATTGCCACAACTCGATCGAAGGAGGGCATCAAGGCATCGTCAGAACGTATCACCGAGTCAAAGCCGACTACTACTGGATTGGTCTTTACGCCGACGTGGTGAAACATGTTAGGGCCTGCGAGGACTGCAATACTAGTAAGAGCAAGCCACAGTTGAGAGGTTATTCGCCGGGAAATGTGGTGTCAGACCATCCATTCCAAGTCGTGTCAATGGATTTCGTGATTCCCCTTCCTCGAACTCAGCGGGGCAATACTGCACTGCTGCTGTTCCAGGACCACTTCACGGGGTTCGTTATCGCTAAGGCTATGAATGACACCGGAGCACTCGAAGTGGCCAAGGTATTTGAGGAATGCGTCTTCAGGCAGTTCGGGGCTCCGTCTCTGATACGGCACGACCGAGATCCAAGGTTTATGAGTGAAGTGTTCCAAACGTTCTCCGAGATGATGCAGTCGAGATCAAGAGCTACGCTGAGTTACCGACCACAAGCTAACGGTCAACAAGAGAGGTCAGTCAAGACAATGGTTCAGACTATACGGGTCTACGTAGAAGACCCACTTCAAGCCGACTGGGATGACATCGCCGAGAAGATGGTACACGCTATCAACAACTCAAGAGATTCGACTCGGCGAGAAACCCCTTTCTATCTGGTGCATGGTTGGGACGCCAAGTCTACACTCAAGGCTATGACGAGTTCAATACGACGTGGACAGGGACGCCCAGTCAACTCGGCGGACGCAGTCGAGTGGCGCCGAGAAGCGAACAGACAACGAGAAGTGGCACTTCGATTAGCAGCTGAGTTCCAAGTGCGAGAGAAAGCACGACGAGCTCGAGAGCACAACGAAGCGTTGAGCAAGAAGGAGAAAAGATCCATTCCCAACACAGCAGATGACGAAGATGAAGTTGCAGAACCAGGCGATGAATCCACCAAATCCTTGTTCAAAGAAGGAGATCAAGTCTGGTTGTTTATGGAGCGAGTCAAGTCGGGCCTGACCAAGAAGTTAGCCCACCGATGGCATGGATTATTCAGGGTGAAGAAGAAGGTGGAAGAATTCGCCTATGAATTGGAGTTACCCGACAAGAGTGGATATAGGTTCTACCCAGTGGTCCATGTATCACGTCTGAAGGCAGTCACCGAACTCGGCGGAAGACCAAAGACGAGGCTAATCGCCGACCTCGAAGAGACTCAGCGATTTGACTTTGATGAAGAATTACTGCCTGAAGACAGCTGGGAACCAGACACAAGTACAAACCAGTATGAAGTCGAAGCAATTCTCGACGATGAGCTACCATTATCCACAAGTACGTCACGATCACAACGGAAGTTTAAAGTTAAGTGGGTCGGCTACGATGAGCCTACTTGGGAACCACTGTCGAATTTGTCATGTGGGGGTCTCCTGTTTGACTATCTACGACAGAAGAAGCGCGAAAACCGTCTGCAAATGGTGCAAGTTGCAGATGAGGATTAACAGCTATTGCACCAAAAGTTACACCAACTCAGCGGACGACACAGGCCGAGTTGAGACGGAATGCTACTGTGTCGAAACTACATATACTGAATAATTACGAAATGAAGCCCTGAACGATACCTACGGGACGCCCAGTCAAAGGAAGAAAACTAAAAAGTCGGCGATCCGGATTCCAAGTGAGTTGAACCCGACGGAGACAACTGGGAAGAGCTCAGCGGACTCGACGATTGGGGGCGTGGCGTCGTAGCAGACGTCATCCCTTGGGAACTTGCGGAAGGAGATGCAACATTCGCAGCCGTGGCAAGAAGTATCATCGCCGAGCTAGCCAACGAAGCTGACGCCGAACCAGGTGCCTCAGGACCCGACGCGGCGGAAGTGGGCTGAGGATCCGTTCCACTGGGGAGTGGGGTGCCGAACGGAGACATACTCGGAGACGCGCCTCGGAGATTGGGAGAACCCAACCCATCGTCCGCCGAGTCGTCATCAGACGCACTCTCGCCATCTGAGCCGAGCTCACCGATCGAAGACCCAGTGAAGATATGGATGCCTTGACGATTCAGCCGAGTTGGAGCACCCGGGGCATAGGCAGGAGGCGCTTGTTCAGCAAGATCGAAATCTTCTTCAATCGCGTCGTCAACAACCTGAGGATCCATACCGCGCGGAGCGAAAAGCTACAGCCTTTTGCAGCGACGCGAGAAGATTAGCCGATTGCGTGGCAGCAGCCTCCAATCGAGACACTTGCTGTTGAGCCGACGAGAGCTGAGTTGACAAGTCGACATTGCTGAGAGCAAGCGAGTCCAGTCGCCGAGTCAGTGCGCGGTTCTCCTCCTGAACAGCTTGATTGTCAGCTTGGAGATCGCCGATGATCTTTGGATAATCAAGAGCGGCGTAGTTGCCTTTCAAGATATCCAACAGTTCCCCCGCGGAAGCAGCATGCAAAATCGCTCGCCGCTGCACGGGATCGGAGGGCTCCACGGAACGAGTAAATCCGTAAGCCATGAGCCTCGCCAAGAAGGTCAATTCTTCTCGGCGATCATGCCCTTGCTCGTTAATTCTGGCCATGAGGGAGTCAAGACTCACTGGAGCAGCCGAGCTTGGCGGATTGGTGGCGCCCGAAGTGGTGTCGCCCGGCAAGCTCGGTGGACCAGGAAGGCGCACGCGAGAAGACTCTGCCGACTCCGCGTCAGACTCATGGGAAGTTGTCAGGTCAACCAGCCCAGCTTCATGCCGGTCGCTGATGCCACGAGTACCGACGGGTCGAGTAATCGACTCAGCTGGCACGCCTTCACCTCGACGAGGAGTTGGAGAAGAAGGATGGTGCCACGGTTTGTGCTGGAACAACATGCGAAGAGTAAGGAGCTGCCAAGTGAGTGACAGCGGAAGCAACGAACGTACCAAAGAAGGTGGTGGGGAGCCGCGAGACGTCATCAGCCGAGTACGGACCAACGGTGGCAGAACAAAATGAAGGATTAAGACACTCACCAGCTCGGCTCGTATCATAACCGGGGCAGTTGTGGTGTAGGGATTTCCAGATTCGACCATACGCCGACCTACTTTAGGTTAAGAATCGGCTCGGTCTGATAACCCAGAGCTTAGGAGCCAAGGATCACGGTAAGTACTCGGCGATCTGTCCGGATATGCTATCCGGACAGCCGCTGAGCTCAACGGTCGCCGGAACTCAGCTGAAGGGTCGGTAGAGATCCGAAACGACTACATTTCATTAGATATTTGTATGAGAAGCATAGGATTAAATAGGGGGAGCCGAAAGGGCTCCCAGAAGATAACAGAGCAGAATTTTCCTAGTCCAAGACACGTGTACACTTTTCCGGTAAGTCCCTGCATAGTGCTGGATTATGCCTGCCGTCAATACTCGAGAGGCATAGCTTGTAGGGTATTGACTGGTAGCGCCAAGAGATTAGGTCGGTCCGGGTAGGACAAAGTCTCGCTACGCGCGAAAGAAAGTCCCGCATACTCAGCGGGCCGGTACGTCGGATAGCCCGGGTGCCGTAACACTTCTAGCTGAGCTGCCTCTGCGCTCGGTGACCTGTAAAAGCGCTCGCGCGCCGTCGTCCATCCTTTGGTGGAGGGCACAGGGTTGTGAACGAGCTCAGCCGAACCAAACTTGGCGGAGCCTCGGAAGTGATCTGACTTGGTTAGTCGGAACCGGGTGGAAGCGAGCCACTCGTCTGTCCCGGAAGGGCCGGACCGCGAGGGGACCACCCTCTGCGCAGGCCATACAAACCGCCGACCTAACTCGGCGATTCGTTGTGGTTTGTGTAAGGAATCCACATCTGACGATATTTGTGTGTTCTACTACACCACACGAGCTTGTCCAAGAGCTGGAAAAATGCAATTTAACTGATGGTCATGTCGACTCTGACGATGATATAGAGTCTGAAGCTGGTACCGGTAGTGATAGCGGTAGCGAATGCTAAATACAGTAATTTGCAGTGAATGCTTCGGTAAAACTATGATTTGCATTCATATGTCGGTGCTCACGATTTGCATCCTTTGCTATTGAAGTGACGCCTAGGACTACGATAATTCGGTATTGTGTTCTGTTAGTGACCTAATGAAGTCGACAGACTGTTGTAGTAAGTAGGTATTAGATTATGTAGGCATTCCGTCATTTGTATTGTACATGTATTCATACTTCGACGTATGGCCACTTTGAAAATGTGTCTTGGATGGGAGGACCACCATATATTTATAGCGCATAGCTCAAGTTTTCAAATTATTTCTCATATTTAAATTAGTAAGGTATGAAGGTACATGCTAACGGCATTCTCCAGTAAATGCGCAGCTCACATGTGCTGATAAATCATCAAATCTTTACCAACATCATATTTTGTGTATCATACACCGCAATGTGGTCCACATTGAATGTGTGCTAAAGTACCCATCTTTCGTGCACCTGCAACTCACCAGCACTGAGTGCGTCAGTATCAAAAGAAGCGTCCGCATTGACAATGGACACGTCGGAGCGAGTACTGGACGCCAACCTAGAGCGCGAGCTGGCTGACTTGCATCTGTCTGGGCCTCTGGAACCGGGCTTCCCTCCTCATCTAATGCACTCAAACGTGATCGCTGCGGCCGCCAAGGTTTCCACGGACGCCGACGACGGCGACGTGCCGAGTCCAGACGAGGACGAGACGGAAGAGGCCAGCGAGCGCACGCACCACGAAGGCCTCCTCAAGGCCTCAATCCTGGAGAAAGTGGCCACTGAGAAGCGTCTGCGTCGCCTCTCTAAAGTCTTTGCGGACGACGGTCGACACGAGCAGAGCGCCGACTCTGACCCGGTGGACCTGTTCGAGAAGATCCCAGAGCCCTACGGACAGCTGTCCACCTACCAGAGAATCCAGATCACCACAGCGCCCGGAGAAGTCGATAGAGAGACCAAAGAGGTCTGCGAACTCATCCGCAAATGTCTGACGCTACGTAAAAAGTGGATCACGGTCAACGAGCCAAAGATCGCAGAGGAGTCGCCCGAGACGGAGCAACAGACCAGTCCGCGCTCAGCTGGCGCAGCAGCCAAACTGCGACACCGAGATGAAATCCCATACGAACCTTTCAAGAACGCCGTGCCCGAGACCACGGAGCACCACTTCTTGATGGTGGACGGTGTCGTGGTAGTGTACGAAGATAAAGACGCGGTCGGGCCCATCAGCCGAGTTGCGAAGATGGAGGAATACTACAAAGATCTGTTCGAGATCAAGCGTATTATCAACTTCGGACCGGTGAAAACCCTGGCGTTCAAGCGTCTGCAGCTGCTAGAAGCGCGTTTTAACCTGCACACGCTACTGAACTCGGAGCGCGAGCTTGTGGCTCAAAAAGCCGTGCCCCATCGCGACTTCTACAACGTACGCAAGGTGGACACCCACATCCACCACTCGGCGTGTATGAACCAGAAACATTTGCTGCGTTTCATCAAGTCGCGCCTGCGCAACTCACCGGGAGAGATCGTGATCTTCCGCGACGGCCGCTTCATGACGTTGAGCGAGGTATTCAGGTCTCTGAACCTCACGGGGTACGATCTGAGCGTCGACACGCTGGATATGCACGCAAGCAACACGTTCCACCGCTTCGACCGCTTCAATCTCAAGTATAACCCGGCCGGACAGAGTCGTCTGCGTGAGATCTTCCTCAAGACGGACAATCTCATTGCCGGGAAGTACTTGGCTGAGATCACCAAGGAGGTTATCTCGGATCTGCACGCCAGCAAGTATCAACTCGTGGAGTGGCGCGTCTCGGTCTACGGACGCAAACGCTCGGAGTGGGACAAGCTGGGTCGCTGGATCTACGTCAACAAACTCACGTCTCCGCACGTCCGCTGGATGATCCAGATCCCAAGACTCTACTTCCTCTACAAGAAACTGGGCGAAGTGGACAACTTCCAGCAGATGCTGGACTACATTTTCCTCCCCTTGTTCGAGGTCACTCGTGAACCTTCGAGCAATCTGCCGCTGCATTATTTCCTCGAGACGATGATAGGATTTGACTGTGTAGACGATGAAAGTAAAGCCGAACCTTTCCGTGCGGAACGAGGCAAGAAGCTGCCAAAGCCCCACGAGTGGACACATGAGGCCAACCCGCCCTACGACTACTGGTGCTACTATCTGTACGCCAATATCGCTGCTCTGAATGAGTTCCGTCGCCAGAAGGGCCTCAACATCTTCTCGTTCCGACCTCATTGTGGCGAAGCGGGTGACCCGGATCACTTGGCGGCCGCTTATCTGACTGCCAACGGTATCAACCACGGGATCACGCTGCGTAAGTCTGTGGCCCTGCAGTACTTGTACTACCTCTCACAGATCGGTATTGCCATGTCGCCGCTGAGTAACAACCGCTTGTTCCTGGCCTACCATCGCAACCCCTTCCCGATCTACCACGCACGAGGCTTGAATGTGTCGCTCAGTACCGACGACCCCGTCATGCTGCACTACACAAAGGATCCGTTGCTGGAAGAGTACTCGGTGGCTGTGCAGGTGTGGAAGTTGACGTCCACAGACATGTGCGAGATTGCTCGCAACTCGGTGCTGCAGTCCGGCTTTGAGCACAAGTTCAAGAAACACTATCTCGGCCCCAAGTACACGCTGCCCGGATCGCGTGGCAACGGTAAGTTTTGATCTCATGTATTTATTTTCTTTTGTCCTAATTGTTTTTGTTGTTGTTGTTGTAATAAATGCAGATATTCGCATGACAAACGTACCGGACATCCGTGTGGACTATCGCCACGAGACACTCCAGGGCGAGCTAGAGTTCATCCAGACGTAAAGCTTGTCGGAGCTGCTACCCTTACACCAACCTCGGTGGCGTATAATGAGACACTCCTTTCTTCACAAAGTGCGAAATCTTCTCCATTGCATCGTTGTGAGCAGCTTAGTTCTTGGCCTTAGCGTACATCTCCCAGGATCGTACAGCAGTATCCCAGACATGCTTGTCATCTGACCTGAGAAGGGAGATCTCTCCACGGTTGTATAGGTCCAGAGCCTTCTCCAAGCGAGCAATTAAGTCAACGCCATACTTTGAAAGTGTCTCCCGAACACTTGGACCATTCCCAACGATAGTTTCGATGTCCCGCGGAGAGATAGGAGCATCCACAGGAGCAATAGGCTGGGGCTTTTAAAAGTGTCGAACGCGTTGTCGGGGACAACAAACACGAGCGCCACTTGCGTAATTTTGTCGCGATAGTCAAGCTTCATGAGGATATCAATAATCTCCCACGCACCGCACGAGGAGGCCCCGCCTGTGATTTGAAACATAATTTTTGCTTTGTCGACTTCGCAAAAGGGTTAAGACGTATTCTAAAACTTGCGCATCTCTTAGAGATCTTCCACGGTCACTTCACGCAGCTTCACTTTTTGAAGGTAAAAACTTGAAATGGTTAAATGCTGTCACTAAGATCGAGAGATCCTCTTTAAAACGATCGTAACAATAGGCATAGGAGATAGACTTTCTATCTTCTATTCCAGCAGCTCCGTGATGTGGCAATATTCTTTGAAGCAGTCGCGCACGTAGAAGTGAGCGCCAGCTTTGTTCTTTGTCATCATGGGTACTCTTGGCATCTTATGTTTCTTTCGAAGCAACCTCGACCGATGTTCCCGCGGTCGTTGCAGTTGTTAGATCACTCTCGTCTTTGTAGAATTCCTCCGTCTAGCAAAAGTGGCTTGTATTGTGTTTCTCGTTATTTATCTTATTTAAGAAGATAAAAATCTTTATTCTATGAAATTCATTTCTCAGACGATTAGTTTTTGTTAAATAAGACTACTATAAACCTAAAACTTGTACTTATTACTCATTCATTTATTATTGTTTCTCACCTCGCTCATTTCTTTTCTATAGCTCTCCAAAACCACTAAAGTATTCATTTCTTTATTGTATTGTCCGATTACTTCCTATGAAAATTTAAGAAAATAAAGTGAGCGAAAGCAACCACCAGCGAGATTGCTTCGATCTGAGTAGCTGCCTCACACAGCGAACGTAAAGTTGGTGTAGACACACTCATGACGCTGACGGCGGCACTGGCAAAGAACAGTGTTGCGAGGACGAGATTCTTGGAGCCTAAATACGCTGGTACGCCTTTCCACTTGGTTGGCCACGGCTCACAGAAGTACATTTGGTATGCACGACCAAAAATTAAATTGGTGATACAGATGGAGGAGTACCGCGCAACAAAGAGCGCGTTCAGCACTGAAACGGCCATTTCGTCTCGAAGTGGTGCCTTCGAGCGTGACAATGAAGGCACTTCGCTGATCGAAGAGCGGTAGGGTGATAACACTTCGTACAGACAAGTTTGGGCCATTTTCCAGCAGATCCAGCTGAGGATGCAAAGGCTCAGCGATGCCATGGTTTGATTCTTGGAGAGCACTCGTCGTCCCAGCAGGAATAGTATTAGACAACACTGCAGACCGAGCTTGCAGAGATGCATTGTCACTTCTATGGAAGCCGCAGCTGCAACCTGATTAGCGAAGTTGGTATCTCCCTGTCCTGTTGACTGGAGCTGCGCTTGAGTCAGTAGCTGCCCCAACATGAACACGTCTTCACGCGAATTTAAACTCTCGAGCCATCGTAGCACTCTCACGAACCCCCGGCGAGTCTGAAAGGATTGCGAAGGGAACGCAATCTGTTTGAGATGGTGGAATTCGAGTGTTTGGATGTCCAACACTGTGTAAAGATATCCACACCCGCACGCCATCGTCACGAGCAGCAGTGGCATGTGGTGCTTGTAGTTTTCATCTTGGGTGCTGTCACTCATTGTTGCTCGACGAAAGGTCTCTTTAAAGTAGCTGGAAATATTTTCCAGCGACCTTCTCTCTAATAATAGAGATCTTTAGGGAATAAGAATTTTCTTCGTCCAGAAATATATTCCAGTGGAATAGCGCTATTCCACTAGAATAAAGTCATCTATCCGTCATTTATTACTCGTACTTCAGAAACTAAAGCTCTCTAATAGCACGATGATGTACTGACTCAGATTTAGCAAAAGCATCTCCGTCTTTATAAAAAATTGGATTTCAAAACAATTTGTAGGTTATAATTAGATTATTTGGTCTGATGCAGATTTAGTTTCGTCTCACCCTCGACGCCTCTCAGATTACTGTGAAGTGACGGTGTTCGCTTACCGTAAATTGTATTCTGGTTGGCTGGAGCGCATTCGTCGAGAGCAACAGTCGCAAGAGCACTTGCGGCTGCGTTGGCACTTGCAAGCCTCATGTCGATGTTGGGTGCCATTATCGGGTCACGAGAAGTTTTAGCAAAATTATCTGCAGAGTAATGCAAACACTACAACCGGATCGATCGCTCTAGATTTTATTGTGTCTGGCGGTCGGTGCTGCCAACACGTCTTGGCTCCGGTGATGCCGTACCAGCGCACGTTCATATCCATCAGCTCGCTCTCGAATTGAACGATATTGTCCAATTGTTTAAAATGCAAACATCGATAAAAGACCGTTTTAAAATATTTTTTTAGACGGTATTAAATTTTGGTAAAAAAAATCGACCGATCTATACGCCTGCATAATATCTGCTTGTTATTAATACCACAACATCTTTCACATCATACAAGCGATCTGGCGGACGAAAGCACCACCAACTCAGAGTTGGTCGACTTCGCCACGTACAACAGGGTACGGTATCCGGATATATGACAGCCAGGATTGCAGTCAGCATTTATAGACAAATTTGTCTCGCTTTGCTGCTCAAGAATGACGAGCAAATGCACGTTACGCGAAGAAAGGGACACGCCAAGTCACGCAAATGCTAGCACTGAATTCTGGAGCATAGCATTTTCAGGTGCTCTTGAGGCACTCAGGTAAGTATCTATCTGGATTGCAAATTTTCTGGAATTTGATGTCACACCCTATCCTTACTATCTCAGTATAAACTATTCTGTTGGCATCGCGATCGCTAAGCTCCGCATGTGACGACACTTGAAACGGAGGTCGGAAATTGCAGGGTCAACTCCCATAAATGATGCTCAATCACTATTATGGCGTGATGGATGATAAAAAATTAGAGCTTTTGTTTCTGGACTAACTCAAAATTTTGGAGCAGTAATTAGTCAAAGCCGATGGTCCAAGAATCATTCCAGTGGAATACACGCACTGGAGCTAAGTATTAGAACATCCATTAGTAATCTCCGTCATATATTCAGACGCTATCCAGAAAATTGTCGTTCCAAAGGTCGCGCTATTCCAACAATTTAAGTTCCCTAATTTGGGGCAGCTCATGCAACGTCTTATACCCGATTTTAAGGGCGATTAGGTCGGACTAGTGGACACACACCGGCTGAGAGTACAACCATTTAGGCGCAACGAGACCGAGGCTTCTCCCCAAAATCCGATGCATTAGCGAAAACCCAATCAGGAGACACATTAAAATTCACCATTATGAACAGCCTTTATCCGCTGAAGGATGTTTATGATGGAGAGATATTTATAAGGCGAAGGCTGTCATTTGGCTGCTTAGTCTAATTATGACCCTGAAGCGACCATTTTACTATTCGATAGTTATCGGTATGCTCAAAATAGCAGTTACGGAGCCAATCGAACTACCACTGATTTTGATGATCCGCGTACTTATTGGTACTATACATGTATTTGTCAGAGCAATTTCCATAAGTCAGTAGTTACTACTGAGATCGGGTGATTTGATTTGGTGCGTGTAAAGTACTGATCAGTAGTTGTCCCAAGCGTTAGATGTGTTACGCCTGGGTAGTAACATAATAGTAATACACAGTGATGCTCAACCATCGAATGCATGAAGTAGAGCTACATGCTCTTACAAAACAGCTTTCTCATTTCCATTTTATCCACGCCATGGCCCCTGTACTCCGCAACCTGAATTTGGGCCGACCCAAAAAGCGCCTGCCCCGAACCTGCCCATCCTGCAAGGTCACCTTTAGCTCCGACTAAGCTAAAGAACCATTTAAACCGTCAACGCGGATGCGGTCCCAAGGCCGTAGCTCTTCAAAAGGCAAAAAGAAAAGAAGCAAACCGGTATTAAAGAAAGGTAAATTCAATTAAAAAAGAATTAGACAAGGTGGGGATGTGGGATTTTGACTGCGACGGCTCTAGTGATGACGCTTTGGACGACGAGGCCATGAAAGAGCCCAAGTGGATTTGTTTTGGAGACAACTTGTCCACTGCCAAGGGTTTGGCTCAGTTAGACCGGACGCAGGTAGTAGATCTTCGCTTACGTGATATTGAGTGTAGCATGATAGAAGTACTATTACCTATTTGGAAGTGGTAATATAAGAATATCATTTACTACAGGTTGTTCTGTGAATCCCACACGCATGACGTGGTTGTGAGCAATTAATGCGAGTCACCTTCCAGCTTCCGTCAACTCCGTTGACATTGATAGCAAACGGGCACTCAATTTTGTCATAGGAGGTGTTCTTGTCGAAGAATTGCTGACCATCAGAGGTCGGAAAATACATTACTGTATTGTATTGATGGCAAAGTTTTGCCGCAATAAAAATTCCAATATGAGCACTCCCAATAATAAAAATTGCCGCAATTTAAATATATTGGAGCAATATCTAGCTATGTCTTGCCCTTCCGTGTACTCTTGCACCAGCCATGATCCCCGTGAGTATGCTGGCCCGATAGTCGACTGGCCAAGCCACGCCAAGCTTCTCATCATTAAAAGTCGCTATCATGTTGTGTGGTAGGTCTGACGACGGCTGCCAGGTTAGTTCTTGAAACCCCACCCAAGAAACTAAAAAGTAGTCTTGCCCGTCTTGACTAGTTTTCTTAGCGTATATTCTATCAGCAACATATAAGGCGGGGACATCTTCGAATTTTGAAGTTTCATCTTCTGAATCCGTGTTATCCTGGAGAGCCTCCAAGGAAGGCCGGCACCAGGGCAATTCAGCTGCTACCTTCTTTAGTTCCTGCAAACTTTGCTCCAGGCTGTCAGGTAGACTTGTATATTTCATCTTCTTCTGTCGTTTGACGTTAGCAAGTGCGAGAAGTTGCTTATTTCGTTTGCTTTTACGTAGCCGGGAAGTCTGGAAATGTAGCTGCTGCCTCACAAGTGCACTATGCCAGGCAGCGGCTGGGCCTACAATTCTTATCTAGAGGACGACACAACACTTAATGATATGTGGTGATTATTCTCGACAAGATGGCGAGTCAAGAATAGTTTTCTTGACTGGGCATCTTGTTAGAATATTTGTTTCAAAGTAATTAATCGGAATGATGTAGCAACTAATAATTTGTGCTATTAGTCGAGATTAGAGTACCCTGTCCCTCCAGTTTGTTTCCGCTCGTTGCCGCAAATATTGCAGCGAAACAGCCCTTGACCAAGTGATGTGAAGAAGTAGGCGGCGATTTGCTTGTTTAGGACCATCGTAGTTCAAAAATGAAGTGAAGTTTGAGTTGTGGCTCGCGTATCGTAGCTTACCAGACTCTCGTAGCCACCGGTTTCAGGTTGGTGTGGAGATGGTGTGGTGAGCATCGAAAATGATGTCATAAGATCTGATTGGTGATGTCATATCGAAACAATTAAGCGGTTCCTACCAGGGAGCCTTTTGCCATATTTGTTGTCAATAATTGGTCCAATACCATATTGTATTGATAAGCTCAACTACCAATAATACTTATATATATTGCAAAACCCAATAATTTATTGAATCGCAATTATTATTTCCGACCTCTGCTGACCATTCAGTTTTTTGCAGACATACTTTGCATTTCCACTATCGTTTGCCTTGCTACTGAAGCTTTTGACAAACAACTGAAAGCCGGACGATTGAGCAAGTTCTTTGCAGCGTTCTTGAATTGCCTTTTGAGATCCGTGAGTCTCGATCCCGATGTTCTCTCGCCGCTGGTACGCCACACCGTAGTTGCGTTTGCTACAGTCTGTCACTCCAATTGGTACATCTTGTCTCAACAAGCCAAGCGACCTGGCCATATCCAGCTCTGACACGTTCACCACGAATGGAGCCGACCCGAAAGTGCGAGCTTTTCGTGTTCGAGAGCGGAGCATTCGGCCAGTGTATTGTGTGCCTCATGGAACTAACGAGCTGGTGAGGGGAAACAGAGAAATGGGCTTGTAGCAGTGAGAAACGAATGCACGACGACAACAATAGAAAACCAAGTCAACGTCTGTTGAGTGCCTTTGGATTAACATATTAGATAAAAAAATGTTGCTAGCATGCGTATCATATGTAGAATAGTATACTATTTAATTTGAATATGAAATAAAGTACTATTTCATAACTACTGAGATTCGCCAATCTGCAGGCAGAGACCAGAAATTGCGTGTCCCGGCTATCGGTATCTTCGAACAAACAGTCTATTTAAATTTGAGCAAGTTCACGAAAAAGATCATCAAAGTCGTCGTCTAGCGTAAACTGCTCTACTGTGCCTTCTCATGTACTTCTTTAGCAAATGTGTTTGCAATCTGGTCTAGCTCGGGACGGCAAATTTGACCCTGGCGGGTCTTAGATCGAAGGGCTAAGCGATGGCGGCCTTTAAACAGGCTCTGCCAGCTCCAGGATGCCGTGAACGCGTGGATACCGGCTTCGTTAGCTTCTGCGAGTGCCTGCAACCTTAGCATCATTGGTGTGACTGGCATCCCTTCGTCCCGTAGGTCCCCGACCCAGCGAACAGGTTCCAGCTCTACTGAGTAAGAAAGAGCGGTAGCTACACCACTACAACGTGCCTTCATCTTCTTGGCTTCTTTAGG